ACTGTACCATTGTACATTTCATACGCACCATATCTTCTTTATCCATTTATCTGTTGATGGACATTTAGATTGTTTCCATGTCCTGGCTATTGCAAATAGTGCTGGTATGAACAGTGGGGTGTCTGTATCTTTTTGAATTAGAGTTTTGTCCAGGTACTATGCCCAGGAGTGGGATTGCAGGACCATATTATAGCTCTGTTTTTAGTTTCTTAAGGAACTGCCATCCTGCTCTACATAGTTACTGCCCCAGTTTACATCTGCACTGACAGTGTGGGAGGGTTCCCTTTTCTCCACACCCTCTCCAGCATTTGTTATCTGTAGACTTTTTAATGATGGCCATTCTGACCAAGGTGAGGTGGTACCTCATTCTAGTTTTGATCTTCATTTTCTCTAATATTAGCAACTTTGAACATCTTCTGGTGAGGTGGTACCTCATTCTAGTTTTGATCTTCATTTTCTCTAATATTAGCAACTTTGAACATCTTCTCATGTGCTTATTGGCTATCTGTTTAAGATACTGGAGGTTTTAGGCAAGGGTAACAGTGATGGTCTATGTTGTAAGATGAGACTGAAATCTGCCTCTCAGAGGGAATCAACAAATGCTTGTTGAATGTATAAATATGCATAAATGGTATAAACACCAATAATGTGGGAGAAACGGATAGTGAATTGATTAGCGTGTTGTTTTTTGTTGTTTTTTTTTCTCTCTGAGATGGGATTTCAGGGGGATTTTGCTTTTCCTATTATGCATTTCTGTATCTTACAAATATTTAAATCAGTACATTTTGTCTTTTCTGAGAGGAAATAAAGTTTATTTTGTTTTCCTTTCTAAAAGTAAAATCTCTGCAGACAATGCCTTCTTTAGACAATAGGAATAAATTGCAAAGGAAATTGCCCTAATGTGACCCAGACTGGGACTGGGCAAGCTTTAGACATAAATAGAAAGGTCTTTTGATGATGCAATTTTAAAAGTGTCCTTGACATTCTTGAAGGTTTTAGCAGCCCCAAAGAAAAGAAAAAAACATAGAATCATGTTGCTGAAAAAGATCTTAACAGTTCAAACAATCCAACTTGCATATTTTACCACTGTAGGAAATAAAACTCTGAGAAACATATTTCATAGAGAAATCCACTCAAAAATCAACATTAATAACCCACTAGACATTGAATTTTTTAAAAGATTCAATCATTGAAAGAAACAAAATTTAAGTTAACTAAGAATAAATCTAACCAAATGTGTGCAAGTTCATCACAAAGAAGATAAGAAAAAATATTTAAAACATAAAATGACCTGCACTAATGAAGATCTATATACCATGGTTAAGGATGGGAAGGTTTACCATCAGGACCTACAAAGTGGACTGACATACAGTAGTTGATCCAGTTATCCTAGTTCAAGTGAATTCCTTAGAAATATGTCATTTTTCCCCCACATGTTAAGCCTGGTTTTGCTGTTGTTTTGCTGTTGTTCAGTCACTAAGTCCAACTCTGTGACCCCATGGACTGCAGCATGCCAGGCTCCTCTGTCCTTCACTATCTCCCAGAGTTTGCTCAAATTTATGTCCGTTGAGTTGGTGATGCTATCTTACTATTTCATCCTCTGCCACTCCCTTCTCCTCCTGCCTTCAATCTTTCCCAGCATCAGGGTCTTTTCCAAAGAGTCGACTCTGCACATCAGGTGGCCAAAGTATTGGAGTTTCAGCTTCAACATCAGTTCTTCCAGTGAATTGTTTTTCCAGGCCAAATCCTGACCAGTTTTGGTTGATTAGTGGCTTGGTTTTTCTTTGTAACATCAATTTTTTTTTTTGCACTATAAATTACATTAAAATGCATCTTATTTTCAAGGGTACAGTTTGACAAACATCTAAGTCAGGGTAAACAGCACTCCAACCAAGACTTAGAACCTTTCCATTACTCGGAATAGTCTCACAGAGCTTTTCAGGAACTTGGCAAACTGATCTTAAAATAGATCCAGTAGAGTAAAAGGTCAAGGATAACGTAGACAATTTTAAGGAATAACAAGGGGAAGGATTTTTTTTTTTTATCTAGAAGATACAAAGATTAATTTTAAAACCACAATAACTAAGACCTTAGTAAACAGTCCAAAGGCATGGCTATAAGTTCCAGAAATAGACACACTCAGATATGAAATCTCTCTATATTTTCCAAACTCTGTCTACCAAAAATGGCATCTCCAGCCAGTTGTTGGAAGACGGCCATGTCAATTCGTTTACAGATTGCTTGTGGCTGCTCTCCTGCGCTGACGGCAGAGCTGAGCAGAGACCACATGGCCCACAAAGCCTAAGTAAAGTCTGGCCCCATCTAGACAGGCATTTACTCTCTGGCCCTTTCAAGACATTTGCTGAATTCCGAAGCTGCGTGATAGGGGAGGCTAAAATGTTAAAATTATCTGTATTTCATACAAATTCTCATAATCATCAAAATTTTAAACTCCTTAACTCTTTTTACTCCTCTCTTCTTTTGCATGGCTTTTAGAAATTTCTGTTCTACACATGTCTGCTAAATTTGGGCTCTTCATCTCATGCCACATTTCCTAGTTTAATAAGGAATCACTTTCTTCTGCCTTTGGTATTTAGAGCAGATCTGCTGATATTAAATTATCGCTCATTTCTTTCAGAAGTAATTTTGTTTCACCTTCATCTTTGAAGTTACTTTTGCTAGATATAGAATTACAGGATGAATTTGTTAGCATTCTAGTGGTTGCCCCCTGACTTACTACAAATCCAATACAAATCAGTTTTCTCATAATGGTAGGACCTTGGAATAGTCTAATTACCACCTTTATTCTTTGCTGTTGTTGTTTTAGATTACAATATATCAAGGATCCACATTCTAATCACTGAGTAATCACTAAAAGAATAATAACAGATGTATAACTAATTTCAGAGAAAAAAGAAAGCAACTTTTTAAATCTAAAAGGCAAAAAATTTCAAAGAACAGAAATAGGAGCATAGAATAAGTAGATGACTCAAATAGAGCACAAATAGGAAGGTTGATAGACCCCCAATTTCATTAGTGCTTACTTTAATTGTGAATGGAATAAATATTCACTTAAAACACTGGGATTTTCAGAGTAGATGTAAAAGAAAATACAATAATACTTTTGCAGACAGGGGTCATGCCTTTATAATAAGGATACAGAAACACACAAAGCAAAGGATGAAATGTGTATATCATGTGGCTACTAACCCTAAGAAAACTGGTTTAGCTATACTAAGGAAGACTTTAAAGCAAAAACATTACTAAAGAAAAAAAAGCCATTTCCTTAATGAAAAAGGAGCCAAATCACCTGGAAGGAATAACAATTCCAAGCCTGTATATAGCTTCAAAACACATACAGCAAAAATTGACAGAACCTGAAGGAGAAGTAAAGAAATTCACAAGGAAATTAGCAATTTTATCACACTCCTTACAATAGTTGCTAGATCATACAGGAAAAAAACCTATACAGACAAAGAAAATCAGAACAACAAACAAATTATTTCATGTCATGAACCCTGCACCTTCCAAATTATACGTTCTTCTCAAGTGTACATGACCACTTTCCAAAACTTACCATATGATGGATTAAAAAGCAAGCCTTTACAAAATTCAAATGATTGTGATTATTCTTATTATATTGTTGTTGTTTAGTCACTGTCATGCCCGATTCTGTGCAACCCCATGGACTGTGGCCCACCAGGCTCCTCTGTCAAGAGATTGCCCAGGCAAGAATACTGGAGTGGGTTGCCATTTCCTTCTCCAGGGGATCTTCTTGACCCAGGGATCAAACCTGTGTCTCCTGCATTGGCCGCTGGATTCTTTACCACTGAGTTACCAGGGAAGCCCCTTATTATATTATCACAGTCAAATTAAGCTAGAAATATATATAGCAAAAGATAAATTTTAAATCAACAAGCTATTTATAAGTTAAGCAATATGCTTTTAAATAATGCATCTCAAAGAAAAAATATCACAACAAAAAGCAGAAAGGTTTTGAACTGAACATTGAAGAGACAAGGCAGCAAAACGTCTTCAAGGCAGCTAAAACAGTCCCTGGAGAGAAATGTACAGCCTCAAATTCACATAATATTAGAAAGGGAGTGAAGGTAAAAATTAATTTGATTCCATCTCAAAAAATTGGAAAAAATGAAAAGGAAGCATATAAGAAATAAATAGTAAAAATAGAAACTGATAGAATTAGAAAAATGTAAAATAGAGAACTTCATCAAAACCAAAAACTGATTCTTTTGAAAATATCAATAGAATTGCTAATTCCCTAACAATACCATCAAAAAAGCATGAGCGAATGAAAATGTTTGACCAAGGTCAAGAAGTAAAAGGGAGAAATAATGATCTTCGTACATCACTGATGGGAAAGTAAACTAGGAAAACTACTTTGAAGAGCAGTTTGGTAATATAATACAAATTCTGATAATTCTGTTCTGTATGGAGGCATCATGGGGATATGGCGTCAGGCAGTGGTTCTGAAAGTTGGATGTACCTTAGAATTGCCTAGCAAGCTAAAACTCAAATTAAACCAAGAAGATTAATTAAATTGGAATGTCTAGGGGTCAAGTGTGCATTCATTCTCCCTTCTTTTAAATTCTCTCATTTTACAATTCTTTTAAATGTATAGCCAGTGTTGAGATACACTGCCCAGGGGAAATACATATAAATGTTCATAGGAGAGAAGAATGTTCTCTGTACTATCCATAAGAGAGATAAAAAAGAACCTGTATTAATATTTATCAACAGAAACCTTAATAATAAATTTAGAAGTGTTCAGTATTGGCATACCAGACAATGTTTGAATGAATGCCTAAATACATTACATGGATGAATCTCACAAAGGTGGTAGGAAGACCAATTGCATTATGATAAGGCCAGTATGATACCAATTTTGGAAAGGTGAAAAAAACACACACAAAAAAAACTATATGTTTGAAAGTCAAAGGAGCATGGCAGTTAAGGGCACAGAATCTGGTTGTCTGTTTCAGACACCAGCCTCCTAGAGACAAGCATGACCTTAGCCATCACAAGATTGCTGTGTGCCTCACGGCTCCCCTTTATAAAAGGAGGGTGCTCCCACTCACCCCTCGGAGGACTGCGGTGAGGGTTGGAAAAGTTGGCAGGTGTGAAGGGCCTGGCATGGGGCATGTGATGGGGAGCTGTCTGTTGTTACTCTGTTATGGCACAGGCCTCAGCTATACTTGCAGTGTTTCTGGCCTGGCAAGATGTTAGAACAGAGTAGAACTGGATGGTGAGTGTACACCTGTTTTTATGCTATTTTCTGTTCTTTCCCATGCACTTAAAATAGTTAAAACAAGAAAAGCAATCTGAAGCCCAGAGGCCAAGGTCACTCAGCTGCTCAGAGAAATCCAGAAGTCGTCTGGCTCCAAAGATCTTGCCCCTAATTTAGCCAATGTGATACAAGAAATTAAACTCAGTGTGTGTGTAGGAATCGTTTCTATTCCAGCCACTAAAAATTGGCCTGCCGAAGCCATGGTTTCCAAAGTCTATTGTAATTCTTTAATTAGTTTTTTTGTTGTTGTGTTGGGTTATGCTTTTATAATACTTGGCTTATCTCTCCTCCATTGACTTATGACTAGAAAGTTGCACAGTACAAAAGAAAGAAAAATAACCACCCCCATGGCTTCCTATCTCACTGAGAATAGAATGCAAAAAAAAAAAAAAAAAACCCACTTTCCAAGGGTGCATATAGTATCTGGTCCCTGAATGCATTTCTCTCGTCGTCTCCTACAGCCCTCTCCTCTGTTCTTCTGCTCAGACGATAGTCACGACAGTTTTTTCCCCCGCTTTATAATCTCCCAAGTATCCTCCCATCTCAGAGTCCTGGGATTTGCTCTGCCAGGACCCCTTCCCACAGGCTGCTCTTTAGCCTTCTCCCTCCCTCCCTCCCTTCCAGCCTGTGCTCAGCGGAGGAGCGCCCGAGCATGAGTCTAAAATAGCCGTTCCCCACCATTACTCTCCACCCAGCCTGGTTTATTTGTCCTCGTGGCTTACTCAGACCAGCCCCCAACATGCACAAGACCAGGGCATGGATGCAGAGAGAAGCCCAATAATAATAAATCCAATTATTTACAAGCTACAAGCCAAGCTTGGCAGGCTGTGAGTAACATGTTTTCTAATATCCCTACATTGACAAATATGCAGTCATAACCATCTACCAAGCTATTTGAATTTAGATTTTTCAGACTCCTCTGAGACTTGTACTGAAAAGCAGGGAGGGTGGCCCTCTGGTTCCCAGACTCTGTCTCACTCCCTTCTTTTCTACCTTGGCTCATAGAGACCAAGGGAAATGGCCAAGGGGCCACTTCCCCTGCTGATTTTCAACGGCCCTGTGTCTTTCCTCCTGCAGGTCACAAGGAAAGGGGGTCTGATTTTCTCGGCGTGGGCAGAGTCTTTCAAGTTATCAGCTCACACACACATACGGCTGCCCATCAAATGGCTCAGCGCCTGGGGTCACGGGCAGAGACAGTCACAATAAAAGAAGTCAGATGCACAGGCAGACTGACATGCCTGGTGCAAATCTGTAGCTCAAAGACGTGAAAGTTCTGGTCCTCATCATACAATCATGATGGACTCTATCAGGCTGCAGCCCAGATATGGTGGAGGGCTTTAAAAACACGGGATCTAAAATCACTCGGCTCAGGGTCAAATCCCGGCTCTGTCACTTAGCAGCTCTGTGCCTTTGAAGAAGGTACAGAATCGTCCTCTGGCGGCTCCAGAGGGCATTTGAGGTGACTGCTTGAGTTAGTGCAAGTGAGCAGAACAAGGTCAGGCACTTATTAAACTTCCAACCGGTGTTAGACATTAGATTGTCCTAGCCTTGAAAGTAGCCCTCTCTCTAACCCTCCACCAAATCCTCATGGTTTATAATAGAATCAAGGACAAATAGACAAATTAGATATCTCCTTGAAAATAAGTTCTGAGATGTAGGCTTTATATTTCATAAGATTTCAGAGAAAGAAAAGGAAAGTAAGCACTGAAATCAACTAGAAAATCTTCCTGGAGGACGTGGGACCCAGGTGAGTATAGAGGATGGGGATGTTTGGCTGGGGAAGGACTTCCCAGAAACTCTGCTTCATTAATAAGGGTTGAGTGTCCTAAGGGCAGTGTTGTTTTTAGTATTTATATTGGAGGATATTTGGTTTACAATGCTGTTACCGCCCAGTATACAGTGAAGTGATTCAGTTATAAGTGTTGTTCAGTTAAGTCGTGTCCAACTCTCCGCCACCCTGCGGACTGCAGCCACCAGGCTCCTCTGCCCTCCACTATCTCCCAAGGTTTGCTCAAATTCTGTCCACTAAGTCAGTGATGCTATCTAACCATCTCGTTCTCTGTCATCCCCTTCTCCTCTTTCCCTCAATCTTTCCCAGCATCGGAGTCTTTTCCAGTGAGTCAGTTCTTCACATTAGGTGGCCAAAAGTATTGGAGCTTTAGGTTCAGCATCAGTCCTTCCAATGAATATTCAGGACTGATTTCCTTTAGGGTTGACTGGTTTGATCTTGCAGTCCAAGGGACTCTCAAGAGTCTTCTCCAGCACCACAAGTGTACATTTACATATTCTTTTTCAGATTCTTTTCCCATAAAGTTTATTACAGAATATTGAGTAGAGTTCCCTATGCTATGCAGTAGGATCTTGTTGATAATTTATTTTATATGTATTTGTTGTGTATATGTTAATCCCAACCTCCTAATTTATCCCTCTCCCCCACATTTCCCCTTTGGGAACCATAAGTTTGTTTTCTAAGTCTGTGAGTCTATTTCTGTTTTGTAAATAAGTTCATTTGTATCATTTTTTAAAATTCTGCATATAAGTGATATCATATGATATTTGTCTTTCTCTGTATGACTTCACTTAGTATGATAATCTCCAGATCCATCCATGTTGCTACAAATTGCTTTATTTCATTCTTTTTTATGACCAAGTAGTATTCCATTGTATATATGTACTACATCTTCTTTATCCACTCATCTGTCAATGGACATTTATGTTGCTTCCATATCCTGGGCACTTGCCCCAGAGCCCACCTTCCCACTAAATCATGACCATGTTCTCTCATCACGCCCAGCTCTCCAGCAGTGCCTGGCACAGCCACCTGTAATAGTTGTTTACATAACCCAGCTTCAGCCCCTGATTAATTACTTCTCACTCTTCAAGCCTCAGCTTGGATATCATCTCCTTTCAGACTCCAACTCAGCACTCCCTACCATGTGGTTGGGTGACATTCTCTCTGCTTTCTGAAGCACCAGTGGATCACAGCGTCTGCATCTGCCATCCTCCTCCTTCCTCACCAACCATTTTTAACCTCCGAGAAGTCAGAGTCTGTTGTCAGTGAACTGTGTTCCCCCAAAAAAGATACACTGAAGTCTGAACCCCCAGAATCTGTGAATGTGACCTTATTTGGAAATAGGGTTTTTGCAGATACAATCAGGTTAAATAAGGTCATTGTTGTTGTTGTTCAGTTGCTAAGTTATGTCAGACTCTTTTGACCCCATAACTGCAGCACAGCAGGGTTCCTGTCCTTATTCTCCAGGCAAGAATACTGGAGTGGATTGCCATTTCCTTCTCCAGGGGATCTTCCCAACCCAGGCATTGAACCCAGGTCTCCTGCATTGCAGGCAGATTCTTTACCAGCTGAGCCACCAGGGAAACCCAAATCAGGTCATGAGGATGATCCTAATCCAATATGACTCAAGTCCTTATAGGAAGAATCAAAGAGACACAGAGACTTATAAGGAGAACACACATGATGAAAGAGACATATAAGAAGAACACATATGATAATAGAGGTGGAAATTGGAACAATGAGCCTATAAGCCAAGGAATGCCAAGTATTGCCAGCAACCTCCAGCAATGATGAGAGGAGCATGGAGCAGACCCCAGAGTCCTTCAAAAGGAGCTAACTTTGTTAGCACCTGGATTGTGAAATTTCTAGCCTCCGGAACTACAGGAGAATAAATTTCTGTTGTTTTAAGCCAGCCTATTGTTGTACTTAGTTATGGAGCCCTCACAGACTACTACAGAAGCCATCTGTGATTTGTGTTCAACATCACATAGACATCAGGAACTCAAAGGGTGATGACTGTTGACCTTGTATCCACCAGCCCTGCCCAGAGGGGCCTTTACATGTCTGTCTCACTTCTGGTGGTGTGTGTGTGTGTGTGTGTGTGTGTGTGTGTGTGTGACTATCGCAGTAACATGTTAAGTTGTTTCTCCTGGATGCAAACTTCTTCTGTGATGTTGGACCAACTGAAAAACTTGTCACCCACCCTGGGTTTACAATAAGTACTTGAAGCCTAGGGACTCAGAGCAGAGGACCAGCCTCTCAGATGACTCCTAGTGACTTCATAGTCTGATGTTTACCCCCTGATATAGTAGTTGCTCTTCTTTCTGAGAATAGACTCCCTTTAATATCAGTTCCCCAAAACTGCCTCTTACGTCAGCATTTACTCATTCATCATTCAACAAATATCAGGAGATATTATATTCTAGACACTATTCTAACTGTTATAATTGCTGAGGATATAGCAGTAGACAAAATTGACAAAAATCACAACACTCACAGAATGTACATTCTAGTAAGTGAAGCCAAACGATAAAACAAAAAATTGAAATATATACTGTATATTTTATTTAATATAAGATACACTACATTGTTGGCTTCCCTGGTGGTTCAGATGGTAAAGAAATTGCCCGCAAAACAGGAGACCCAGGTTCGATTCCTGGGTCAGGAAAGTCCCCTGGAGAAGGGAAGAGCAACCCACTCCAGCATTCTTGCCTGAAGAATTCCATGGACAGAGGAGACTGGCAGGCTGCAGTTCATGGGGTCTCAAAGAGTCAGACACGACTGAAAAACTTTTTCTTCATAAGATATACTATATTGTAGATACGATATACTACAGATTCTATGGAGAAAAATAAATCATAAAAAGAGGATATGAAGCCCTGAGTGAGGGAAAGGAAGTTTCCATTTGACTGAGTGCTTTAGCCAACTTTCTCTGCAGTAATAACCCTTTGCCAAATCTCATTGACTTATGACAGCCATCATTTATTTCTCATTTGTAGGTCTCGAGGTCAGCTGCAGTTCGGGTTTATTCAGCTGGATTCCAAAAATCTTTCCAGTCCAGGGCTCAGCGTGTGGGAGGGGGCAGCCTCTAAGATGACCCCCAAGGACCTCACATCCTGATATTTACACCCCAGTATTATATCCTCTGTGTATAGGCTGGGTTTAGTGACTCACTTCTAAGGAATGAAAAAGACAAAAGCAATGGGGTCGCACTCCTGAGATTAGGTTATAAAAAGACTGTTTCTTCTGTCTCCCTCTGGCCTTTTCTTGTTCTCTCTCTCTTCTCATTCTGGGGGAAGCCAGCTGCCACGCTGTCAGCTGCCCTATGAGAGGCCTCCAAGGTGAGCAACTGATGTCTCTGGCCAGCAGGCAGGGAGATCCTGCAAGTCTGGCTCCGGGTATGTCAGGGAGTTAATGCTTTGTGCTCCACAGGGCAGAAAATTAGAATGAGAGACGGTGAGAGAGCCTCTCACTGGGGAGGCAAGGACAGACACCTCTTAGAACGTGGCATCCTACTAGGATGGAGGAAAACAGAAAACACATATTTTTCACAAATTTATTCCAGGAAAATCAGATGCTGTTTTCTTTCTTTTTTGGAAAGAGTGAAGTGTGATGAAGACAGAATTTTTTTTAAAGTTTCCCCACTGAGGAGCTGTTATTATTTTTTCTTTGCTTTTTTTTTTTTTTTACTGATTTGATATTTTGGGTGTCTTTTTTCACCATGATCTTTTTATTGTTTTTCTTTCATATAGAGCTAGAAATACAACACTTGCTACTACCCCCCCCCCAAAATCTGGTTTTTATGGTACTCAGATACAAGACTATTTTGGGATCCCTCCACCCCACCTTTAAATAAATCTATGTTGATGCTTTCAGAGTGCCTTTGCAAGGGGAAATTCAGTCCCAGAGAGCACTGAGACCATGCTTGGCTCAGACAGGCTCCCTTGAAGGTGCAGCATATGCTGGGGTCAGGGGGGCTCCTACAATTGTTCCCACAAACTGAAACTCAGGATTTTTAATAAGGGCACCTGCGTTCAGTTCTGCCACTTAACATCTGTGTAGCTTACAGCAAATTCCTTCATCTCCCTGGTTAATTTCACTCACCTGAAAATGGATATACATGTGGTGGTGCTATTTTCATCTCCAAGTTCTGATAGACTTTAAATAACACAGCACAGAAAAAAAAGAACATCCTAAGTGGGAAAGTGACTGCATATAACAATGGAGTCTAAGAAGATAAGTGAGTGTTCTTGGAAAAGTATAAGACACTGAACGTATAATGGGCTTTGTTTTTGTAACTCTAAGAAATTGTTGGTCTTTGCTTCCCAGGGGACATGATGGAGCTAGGTGGGCAGTGGGAATTCCAACTATTGAAGGCTGAGAGTTAAAGTCGACTCAGGGACCAGCCTGATAACCTTTGAAATCTATGAGTCTCAGGATAACCATGTTCCTAGAGCATGCTAACCCCATTCACACCTTCATCTTTCTTCTCTCCCTTTCTTATTTCTCTTTCATAATTTTGTCTCCTTCATCCTGTCTCCTTTGTGTCTATCAGGGGGTGCACAGCATGGGGACCGGCCACCTCCTGCGGCAGCCTCCTGACAGCATCCATCGCGCAGCTGCAGGGAACACTGCGCACCTGAGGATCATATGCAGTGACCACACCCAGCAGGGGCCTGGCCATTTCCACCTATATCCTGATCAGGGAAGGTATAACTGGCTGGGGATGAACCTGGGATGGAAGTGTCAGCATCAAGGGCAGGTCCAAGGCCTCCTCCCACAGGGTCCAGCCCAGAGTGTCAGGGTCAAGAATCAAGCTCTGATGGCCCTCTATTCCCTGGGGGTATGACTGATGACCTGGGCCTGCCCTCTGGAGAAAACCCACCGCACTCAGCATCTTGATCCTCCTAAGAAGGCTGAGGGGGGCCAACAGGAGAGGATGTGCCTGGAGCTGGGCACCGGGGCAGGCGGCCCACAGTGAGGGAGAGGCTGGCGAGCTGAGACTTCAGAGAGGCGTGGAGATGTAGCCTCAGGATCGAAAATGAGAAGCAGGTGGTCATGTCACTGAGCTGCAGGAGGCTGCTGCCAGCTCCCCGCTGCCAACTCTACTCATTTCAAGGTGATGATGTTCCTCTAGGCACTGAAGTCATTTTCTCAGAATTTAATCTGGACCACAGGTTTCTGGGATGGACTTGGTCAGGGAGTCAGGAGGAGATGGAGCTGGGGAAGACTTCCAGGAAGTAGCGGCCAGGTGCTCCAAGGACCAGGGGCAGGTGTAGGGGTATTCACCTTCTCTCCTTCTGGAGCTTTCCCCAAGGCCCCACACCCACATTCCTCTCTTCTTCCCTCAAGTATTTAGTGCCTCTTGATCTCAGCTTTCCCTCAAACCAGCCCTGGAGAGAATCTGATTAACAGAGCCTGGGCGACAGCAGGGACTTTAAAAACTTCAGGAATTTTTTGAGTGACAATTGAAGTTACCCAGAGGGCATACGCATGCTAACAGGGGTGAAAGACACACTTTCAGCCAAAGAAAAGAATTTCAAGCAGTCTGAGCTCAGATTCTATGGGACTAGAGGGTTTTGGTGTGTTCTATTTAGTATTTTGTGGCTCTTAGATTTCAATTTATATTCACCCACATCGCTCCACTTCTCAAGAGGCAAGCATTTACATAAGCCCCCATCTACATGTGACATGTTGCTAAGCTTTTCAACATATATGATTAGTAAACATTTATCTTATCCAAACTTTTCAACAGTCCTCTGAGGCAGGTTTTAAGAAATCTCGGTTCGTTGTTTTGTTTTCAGGAAAAGCAAGAGCTAGGCCTTTGACTTGCCAAGCATGGGAAAACAGTGACAGAACAGGATTTGGGACCCAGGTCTGGCAGACAGCAACATACCAGGCTTTCACAAACCTTCCTGAACAGAACAGTCACTAAGATGCTCATGGACAACGCAGCAGCTGGAGGCCCCAGCTATGAGTACAACCTACCTGCCTCAGGGTAGGGGCCCTGGGCCTGGCTCCTCAGAAGCAGGTGGAAAGAAGGTGCAGGACACTCACTGGGGAGAAGCCTCAGATCTTCACCTCTAGTGGTGCAGGTCGGGCTGTAATAAGTCATGACAAGGCTTCTGAGGAACCTACTGGGAACTCTGGAGCTGGGATAACCCTTCAGAACTGGCCTGAGCTGGAAGAAGGGGGCCACACTTCACTCCACTTCTTGAGCAACCACTGGGTATGAGTTGGCCTAGAAGGTGAGGGATGTGGCCCAGGGCTGAGTAGCCTTCCTCAGCAGAGAGTGGACAAGTCAGCCAACAGCCTTCCCAGCAGCTGGCAAAACGGGTCCTTTAGTGATGAAGGGGAATTTGAGCAGCACAAAGCAACAGGAATGTCTGTATAAAATCCATGGCGACCATGACGTCCCAAGGGTGATTATCATGGGGGAAGGCTATGGACTTCCTCGTCCTCACCTTGTTCATGAAGGCCAGTAGGGGGAAGCAAAGAGCTTTCCAGGTGCTACTCTGGAGCATTATGGTGAAGTAGGAGCCTGGGGAACATCATTACCTGGGAAGGGATTGCAGGGTGCCCACGGGAATCCAGGGTTTCCCTGGTGGCTCCGATGGTTAATCCCACCTTCAATGCGGGAGACTTGGGCTCAATCCCTGGATTGGAAAGATCCCCTGGAGGAGGGCATGGCAACCCACTCCAGTATTCTTGCCTGGAGAGTCCCCATGGGCAGGGAAGCCTGGAGGGCTACGGTCCATGGGGTCTCAGACTCCGACATGACTGAGAAATTAAGCACAGCACAAGGGCATCCAAGCAAGCCCAAGACTGAGCCATCAGTAGCAGAATCTGAGAAGGGCTAGAAGGATGGGACCCAGATTACAAGAAGATACGCCGTGCAAAGAAGTTGAGTGCTACCCTACAGCTGTTGGGGGACCCTTGAGTGGTTTGAAGCCCAGGAGTTAATGCATTTAATGGGTTTTAAGAAACTTTCTGCCTGCAAGGAGGGTGTCTTATTGAAGGACTCCACCTCTTTGCAGTCACACAAATAACTTATCTTCATTATCCAGATCGGAAAAACTGTGGGAGGTAATAGTACTCACCTTATATGGTCTCTTTGCCAAGGAAGAGAGATTCACTTATTTGTAAATAAGGGAAATTTTCTCTCCTCTTTTGTACTTCTTTGTGGTTTCCTCTCTTTCCTTGTAACTCTTGCGTCTCTCATTTTTTATTCTTCTCTGCTTACTATGCTAAGTAGGATTGCCAGTAAAATGTCAAATAGACATGCTATTTGATAGAAAAGCATGATAGAAACTATTTGCTCCCATTTTCAATATAGTAATAGAAGTGCTTCTAACAGGTCACCCTAGGTATGATGCTTACCATAATGTTTTAAAGTAATTGCTATTTAGTCAGTTAAGGAGGCTCCCTTTGGTTTCTATATTTCCCATAAGAATTTTTATCATAAATAGGTGTTGAATTTTTTTAACACTTTTTTTCCTATGCCAAGTGATAATAACTTTATCTTTTCTTCCTTAAATAAGTGAAGGTATTTCATTGCCTTAGTGAATGTTCTGGTTAAACCATCTTTGCAGTTCTGAGATAAGATGTTGCCATCTGAAATTTATTTTTTTAAAAATTTAAAGCCAATCACCCTAACCTTTTATAATACATGGTCATGTTGAGAGCCTTTCTACATAAGCATTTTCCGAGAGGTATCATTTGTCTTCAAGAGAAAACCATGCATCCAATTGTCTCCTTCCCCAATTTAAATCTTTCAGTGTCTCGCCACTGTCTTCTGAAGACAAGATCCTTTGATGCATATGATTTGATTCTCAAATCGTGTCTCCAAATCCTCTGCCTATCTCTGGCCCCTTTTCTTTACTCATTGCATCTAACCTAGCTTCAAAGTTTATTAACTTTCCTCTAAAACATATATATTTATTATATTTAATATACAATGTTACACCTTAGCAATGCTTATTTTAATGTATTTAATAACATATATATATAGCTAAACTAAGAATCTTTCATCTAGATTATTGCAATGGGCTCTGGAACAGTTAAACAGTGATACTGTGGAATACAAATTTGTTCCTGTATTTGTATATACATAAAACTCTAAAGCTCCTTCAGTTGGCCCAGTGGTGTGCTAGAGTCTGTTCATATCGTCTCTGAGCATCCATTGTTAATACTCAGGAATTTCACAAGCTAGTTGTCAAACTGTTGTTAGCTTGAAATTGACTGTGGTAGGACAATTTGCTCTAGGGAAAAAAAATGGACAATACTACAAATCAATGAATTAAAAAACAAAAAAGCTTTACCCATGATATAGATTGTAGCCCATGATCAGATTTCTCTGCTTTGTGCCTGGTTAGAAGTTCTAGTTCCCAGAATGTCTGTATTTCCTTGATTTTGTGGTGCCTTCCTTCTGAGTGTAATGCATTTCCTCTCGCATCCGTGAGCACCTCCTCCAGGGCTCAGCTCAGTGCCCGTCCCCTAAGGGAGCACTTAGAGGACCCTTCTTCTCCGCAGCTCTACAAAAAACACTTATCACATGATTCCCTGGTCATTGGTTTCTGGGTCTGTGTGCTCTGTAAACTCCTGAAAGGCATTCCTTTTCATTATTCATCCATTTATCCTCATGGTTAGCCCACTGCCTAGCACATGACAGGTACCACATATATGTCAGACAACTAAGGAGCTGTCTTCCCACCTTCCTTTTAGTTCCCATGTCTCCAGCAAGATGACCCAATTTCCAAGCCATGACTTCCTGCTCTCTCCCCCCAGGCCAGTCCTTATCTATGAAGAGAACTGCAGCATGCACCGCCTCTACTCCCACCTTTATCCACGAAGCAGAACTGTTGAACCAACCACAAGCTCAGAGGGAAATAGGACTGATGGAAATTTTTCTCATCTGATGAAAGAGCACTAGAAAAATAATCACTGGGGCAAAATCATTGAAAGAGATTATTCTTGTTATCACGCTGCATCACAAACTATCCCCATATCTGGTAATTTATTTTGCTCCCAGTTTTGTGGGTCAGAGATTCAGGCCCACAAAGTCTGTGGGGACTCCTAGCCATGGGGTGTCCAGGGATACAGCTGGGGCTGGAGGACCCATTTCCAAGCTGGCCTCTTCACACACAAGTCCAGCATTTCTCTTTTTGGCCCCTCTGTCTCCACAGGACATGTCCTCTGCATGCGGGTCAGGCTTCTCTCAGCATGGTGATCTCAGGATAGCTGTCCTTCTATGGTGGCTGTCTTCTGGGAGAACAAGGCGGAAGTTGCCAATCTTAAAGGGCAGCTCTAGAACGAGTATTGGATTATGTCCTGTGTAATCCACGGTAAAAGCAGACCCAGGCCAGTCTGGATTCAAGGAGAAGGGAAGTAGAACCCATTTTCAGTGGGAAGAGTATCAGACACTTCGTGTTTCTCTCTAATCTGCCACAGAGGGGTCTGGCTTCTGTCTCTCTCTGATAGAAACGAGGGTAGCAAACTACACTGGGGAAGAAAATATAAAGCCCAGAGGTATCCCCCGTGGAATGAGTTTCTATCTCCAAACAGTTGGAGTACCACCTGGCACCAGACATGTCATCAAATCCCTGAAAGGTGGTACTGAACTCTTTTTTCTAACATTAATCCCAAATCCATCTCAGCTGACGTAGCCTCTCATCTAACCTCTAGCAAGTCCCTGAGTCAGAAGAGTAGATCGAACCTGTGACTTTCAGAGAAAAGGCCTTGCCTCATGTGTGATGAGCAGTCAGTCAAGAAGCGTTCTCACTACATCTGAGCGAACAGAAGTGAGAGGCAGCCAGAGGGGACTGAAATGCAAAGAAACGGCATGTAAGCCACTCAAGCACCCCTAGGAGGGGAGGCAGCAAAAATAAGCACACAAAACAAGCACAACAAGCTTTTCCCAGACATCTGGATTTCAGGGCTTTAACGCGTTTCCCGAGGAATATAAAGTTTAATCGCTAAAGGATTTTATGCTTATAGATCATTACAGTCAAGGTTAAAAGGGAAACAGATGGCATACTCAAAAAGGGTGAATGAAAATAATGAAGCAGAGTCTATTAACAAAGGTGAGGGAAACATTCAGAAAAACCAGCAGGAGGTGGTGGAGCACAGAGGTGCAAACAACAGCAAGAGGTAGGTATAACCCTGGGGGCTGACGCAGGGAAGAGGCTGATGCGGAAAGCCAGCAAGGATTGGAGCTGTAGGGAAGGGCTGTCTGGTGGGAGCTGTGACCTGGGGAGAGGAGCCCCGGCCCTCCCAGCTGTGGCCCCGCCCGGACAGAGGGACCTCTCTCGGCTCCCCTCTGATCTCCTGCTACTGCCTCTCTTGCCTGAACTCAATCGGAAGGAAGGTCCTAGGGAGCCGAGGGGACATGGCCCACAGCGGGTAGCCTACTGGAGCACAGGGCAGAGTGGAAAGGTGGAGAGATGGATATGGTTGTTGCTCAGTCATTCAGTCGTGTCTGACTCTTTGCGACACCATGGAATGCAAATGTAGATTATGCAACCGAGGTGGCCTGGTAACAGTATTCAATTTAGATCTTAACATTTGAATATAAGTCAACAGCTGTATCCCTATGGAGGAAGACTCTGGAATGATCTTTATCTTCCCCCTTTTATGTACAGAAGTTTTAGAATAATGAATCCATTTTATTCTTTCTCTTAATGTATATGGAAGATTTATCAAATTGACATTACAGAACTAGTAAGTTTATTAAACAGAATAAGCATGGTTGACTGTTGAACCATCAGCATAGAGGGGTGGGTTTCAACTAGTGATTTCTGATGAAAAGGAGAAATATTAAGGCAACTAAAGGTCCTGGTGGTCCAGTGACTAAGACTCCGTGGTCCCAATGCAGCAGGGCCCAGGTTCGATCCCTGGTCAGGGAGCCTGATCCCACATGCCACAACTAAAACCCGCTGCAGCCAAATAAACAAATAAATAAAAATAAAGCAACTAAACATGGCTAGTAGGTACATAGGACAAAAACAAGACAAACTAACTATAATTGGTGGCTCTAAGGGAGAAAACACAACAAAGGTACAGAAGACATATTTAAGGTAAAATGTATGTGAATTTCTCTAAAATATACAAATGATATAGGAAGACAGATATGGCCCTATCACTTGGGGAATTGTTTCAAATTCTTCAACTCCACGGCATTTCTTAGTTGATATATTGAGCTCAACAGTTAAAAAACAATACATTTGAAGCAGAAAAAAAGCACACACAAAGGAAAGCAAAACATCAAGCAGAACTCAAACCTTCCAGATCTATCTTAAATGTCACAAAACAATAGAGGAATATCTACAGAATTCCAAAATCAACAAGTTTAAGGCAAGAATGTGAGTAAATTAAAGGTAAGATTACCAAATGCATATTCTTCGCTAACAGACTTGAGATTGTTTTTATTACAAGACGTTGAATATAGTTACCTATATGATACAGCAGAACTTTGTTGTTTATCTATTTTATATATAGTAGTGTGTATCTGACTCCTAATTTATCCTCTGGCCTCTTCCCCATTTGGTGACCATAATTTTGTTTTCTATGTCAATACATCATTTCTTAATTCTATAGTAGAAAGAAAAGAGAATATATTTAGATGATGTGAGAGTATAGCTAGATGTTTCCTTGTTGTTGTTCAGTCGCTAAGTCATGTCCAACTCTTTGCAACCCCATGAACTGCAGCACACCAGGCTCCCCTGTCCTTTACTATCTCCCGGAGCTTGCTCAAATTCATGTCTGTCAAGTCAGTGATGCCATCCAACCATCTCATCCTCTGTTGTCCCCTTCTCCTCATGCCTTCAATCTTTCCCAGCATCAGGGTCTCTTTCAATGAGTCAGCTCTGCATCAGGTGGCCAAAGTATTGGAGCTTCAGCATCAGTCCTTTCAATGAATATTCAGGGTTCATTTCATTTAGGATTGACTGGTTTGATCTTACAGTTCAAGGGATTCTCACAAGTCTTCTCCAGCACCACAGTATCAATTCTTTGGTGATCATCTAGATTAACTCATCTATTGAATTTTAGGTCACTAAACCCTCTTGTTAAAACAGTTAGATGTGGACATGGAACAACAGCCTGGTTCCAAATAGGAAAAGAGTACATCAAGGCTGTATATTGTCACCCTGCTTATTTAACTTATATGCAGTACATCATGAGAAATGCTCGGCTGGAAGAAGCACAAGTTGGAATCAAGATTGCCAGGAGAAGTATCAATAACCTCAGATATGCAGATGACACCACCCTTATGGCAGAAAGTAAAGAGGACCTAAAAAGCCTCTTGATGAAGTGAAAGAGGAGAGTAAAAAAGTTGGCTTAAAGCTCAACATTCAGAAAACTAAGATCATGGCATCTCGTCCCATCACCTCATGGGAAATAGATGGGGAAACAGTGGAAACAGTGTCAGACTTTATTTTGGGGGGCTCTAAAATCACTACAGATGGTGATTGCAGCCATGATGTGAGAGTTGGACTGTGAAGAAAGCTGAGTGCCAAAAAATTGATGCTTTTGAACTGTGGTGTTGGAGAAGACTCTTGAGAGACCCTTGGACTGCAAGGAGATCCAACCAGTCCATCCTAAAGGAGATCAGTCCTGGGTGTTCATTGGAAGGACTGATGCTAAAGCTGAAACTCCAATACTTTGGCCACCTCATTCGAAGAGTTGACTCATTGGAAAAGACCCTGATGCTGGGAGAGACTGGGGGCAGGAGGAGAAAGGGACGACAGAGGATGAGATGGCTGGATGGCATCACCAACTCGATGAACTTGAGTTTGAATAAACTCCGGGAGTTGGTGATGGACAGGGAGGCCTGGCGTGCTGTGATTCATGGGGTCACAAAGAGTCGGACACGACTGAGCAACTGAACTGAAACCCTCTTGTAAACTGATAGGTATAAACTCCAGAAATATTATTTGTCCAGAACAGAATAGGACACAGGAATTCCAGGAAAAATCATTTTCTCTTGCTCCTTCTTGGATATTCCTTCTTGTCTAGAAGAGCTGATCTCAAATTTGGTGTCAGCTCTCTGGTGTATCTCAGTGAGCGCTAGCAACTGGAGGTTAATGACCATTAAATAACTGATGTGCTTCAAGTGATGTACTTCATAAATAACTCAGGGGAAAATTCAAGGTTGCCTCTGTGAAAGCATCGCTCTTGCTTGTATGCTCATAGGTTTTCTTGAAGAGTTATTCTGGGTGTCACCTACATCCTGGGGCTTGCTCTGTGGCCCCTGAGGCTGACCTGAATTTTGTACATCAGTGAATTCTGTGGGGGACTACAAGCAATAGCCACAAACTCCTCCCCCCCCTGTATCCATGCTCTACCACAGCACGGCTTTGTGGTTCTTCCCATCAAGAAGTAGAGTCTATTTCTCCACCTATCCCTCCCCTTCGAGCCCCCAGAGTCTGAGCCAGCCTGTGATTTACTTTGACCTTTAGGATGGAGCAAAAGCAAAACTGGGGAGTTCTGATCCTGGACCTGATGATCTCTAAGCGTCTGCTCTTTCTTAGAACCCTGACAGCACCATACCAGGAAGCCTGGACTTCCTTCCCTGAGAATCAGAGAACAAATGGAGACAGAAGTCCAGCCTAGAGCCAGCACCACCTGCCAGACATGTGGGTGAGGCCACCTGGGACTAACTGCCCCAGGTGAACTGCCAGGTGATGCCACTGCCGGAGCCAAATGGGGAGTGACAGCGAAAGAGCCACCCAGTTGAACCCATTCCAAAATGCTGGCCAACAACAGAATCTTAAATTCCAAGAAAATTCCCCAGTGGTTCAGTGGTTAAGACTCCATGCTTCCACTACAGGGGGCATGGGATCTGAAGGCTCAAGCAAAGTCCATGGGCAGATGACCGTGACTCCCAGGACTCTTCCGCTATCTACATCATCTCCCCTCCCTCAAGTTGGTACCCATCACCTCAAGGGGAATTCCCCATGACCAGTTAACTAAAGAAGAAAATAGGCAAGCCTTGTCAGGGAATTAATATCCCCTATGCCATGTGGTATGGTCGAAACTGTTTTTAAAATTCTAAGAAAATGCAGTGAGATTTCTAGGAATCCAGTGATCTGGGGCATGTTGATATATTTCTTCCAAGGTGAACTACAGGCTTCTGTATCTGGTCCCTTCTCCCACTATGAAATAGACACAATGCCTCCTGGGTCTCTCTGGATCTTAGAGGTGACATATGCTTCATTTGGTGACCCATTTTTCCAAGTAACATGAAGGCTGCCCACGTTGATTAAGAACCAGAGGGAGAAAAGGCACTGGATCAGGTCAGAGCTGTCACTCAAACTGCTCTGCCCTCAGGCCGTGTAACCAGCAGATCTGATAGTGTTTGAAGTCTCCGGTAGATACAGATGCTTTCTGGAGCCTATGGCAGGCCCCATGGAAGAATCATAGCACAAATTTTGAAGGATTTAGGGTGAAGCTATGCCATCCTCTTCAGATCCTATTCTTCTGAGATTCCCTGGCTTGATATAGGCCCTGGTAGAGAACAAATGCTTGGCTGCAACACACCAAATTACTAGACAACCTGATGTCCCCATTGTGAATCCGATGTTGTCTGACCCATCATGTTATAACCCACTGGCATGCACTGAAGCACTCCATCATCAAGAAAAATGGTGTGTACAGATTGGATTAATAGGATCTGAAGGCTCAAGCAGAGTCCATGGGCAGATGACTGTGACTCCCAGGACTCTTCCGCTATCTACATCATCTCCCCTCCCTCAAGTTAGTACCCATCACCTCAAGGGGAATTCCCCATGACCAGTTAACTAAAGAAGAAAATAGGCAAGCCTTGTTGACAGAGATTTCTGCACAAGACTCTAGCAATAGGCCCAAAGTGGACAGAGGCAGAGCTTCAGCCACAGGGAAGACCTAAAGGACCATTGAGGCAATAAAGTGAAGGCCTGCAGTGGCCAGAACCTCAAGAAGCACACCTCTGGCTATTCAGTTTGTTTAAAAGAAGGCGTCTCCATCTATACTGGTTCATGAACATTGACTAACAGTTTGGCTGGAGAGATGAGGACTTGAAAGTAAGATGGTTGGGAAATTGATAATGAGGGTGTCCAGGGAAGATGTGTGTAGATAGACCTCTCTGAATGGGCACAGCCATGAAGACGTTTGTGTCATGAGCGAATGCTCACCAAAGAGCACCGTCGCCAGAGGTGGACCTTCGTAACCAGGTGGATGAAAAGATTCATTTTCTGGATGTCTGCTGACCTCTTTCCCTAGTCATCTTGTCTTTATAATCAATGGGCTCATGGGCCCAGGGCATGGTGGCAGGAATGGAGATTAAGCTCGGGCTGGGGCTGACATTCATCAAAGCCAGCCTGGCTGCGGTCACTGCCGAATGCCCACAGCCGATAGCACAGACTGCAGCTGAGCCCGACATGCACAGGAGTTGGGTCAAAACACAGTGGATGGAAGCTGCATGGTTTAACGGAGAGAGCCAGGAGCTAGGAGGGACAAGTCGGAGGTTTCCATTTCTTCTCCCAAGCACAACAGCAGAAACATGAGTGGCTACATCTGCAATGAGGTGAGGGCACAGGAGAAAGTTGAAGTTGGAGCCGAGAACTGAGATCCTGGGTGGTGGTGGGCAGGGGGGATCAGCTGCGAGAACTGGAATCAGTTGGATCAGCTGGCATCAACTAGGTACCATTTCATGGGTGGGGGACTCTGTGATTGTGTTAGGAAGCCCGGACAACAATGACCTAAGGGGCCCTGGAGGCACTGATGCTGTCTGCTGTGCGTCGCTCACTAGCTCTGTGACCTTGGCTGTGTCTCCAGTCCTCTCAGAACCTCGGGCTGCAGGGCCGCCCAGGAGGGATAAGCGAGAACACCATATGCACAGTTCATGGCGCAGTGCATATGCTGATGTGCTCGTGGCGTGATCCCAGGTGAATGTCCTCACCCCGCTCTCAGACGTTGCTGTTGAACTAGGTCAGTGACTGCTAAATTGAACAAGCCTCAGAATCACCCAGAAGCTTGTTTAAAATACAGACCCCTGGGGCCAAACCTGGGTCTACTGGTCTGGGATGTGGAGGGGCAGGACCTGGGAAGCTGTACTGTCAAACAAGCACCCCAGGGGTTCCGGTCCGCAGATGGCTCCATGAACAGGGCTGGAAGCCTCAGCACAAATGCCCTCCAGGGCCGGGCCTGCACGCCTCAGGCTCCAGGCTGTGTGGTCCTCTGGAGGTCACCTCTGCACACCATCTATTTTCAGATCCACCTCCGGGCTCTGGCCGAGTCTGTGCAGATTACACTGGACGCCATCTCTCCTCAACTCTCTGCTTCCTAATCTAATTATCACAACAACCAGATGTGACAGGCTACCTCTCAAACCCATTTAAACGTCTCCAAAGGCACCTCTGCGTATTCAAGCCTCCTCTAATTTCCCCCCCTCCCTCCTCTAGAGGGACACCTTGGCTCCTGGCACTCTCCCTATGCCAATTAGCAATGAAGTATCCTTCTGCTGAAATAATCCGATTATGGGGTACTGAATAGCAGCCACAGACTGTCACACTCAAATCCTCATCCCCAGAGAAACTCAGGTCAACCCTCTTAGCATCCCACGGGCTCAGTCTCCTGGAATAGGAAGGCATCTTGTTCCAACAGCCACACTTCTGAGTCCTTTGGTGCGTCTGGGCACCTCTCGGTATCTTTGAAAATGGGATGGAGGTAAAGGGCTCTCCCCACCTCCCAAAAAAGCTCATGTGTGTGTTGATTCCTAGTCAATATCCTGAGTTCACAGCCTCTTAGAGACCATCCCTGGGCCGCTGGCTGACACGGCCCCACCAGGGCCCACCACTCCCACACATGTTTCCACATCCCCTTCCTTACCTTTGCCTGTCCGGAATCATCTTTTCTTTCCAGAAGAGTAACTGGGATCTTACCATGCTCCTCACTCCCCATTGTCTCTCCTCACTTTACGATACCTCCTGGCCACCTTGCCGCGTCATGCGTTACCCACCCATGCATTATTTCTAATGCCCCACCGATCCCTCAGTGTGGATTTTTCTTAACCATGGATGGACATTAAATTGTTCTCCTCTGCTTTCAGGCAAACCATGCATCCCTAGAAAACAGAGAATTAAGAAATTGGCATAAACAACATCGATCAGGGAAGGCTTCCGGGAGGAGAAAACAATATTTTAAAGCACTGCTGGCGAGGAGATCCAGCCAGTCCATCCTAAAGGAGATCAGTCCCGAGTATTCATTGGAAGGACTGATGCTGAAGCTGAAACTCCAATACTTTGGCCATCCGATACGAAAAACTGACTCATTGGAAAAGACCCTGATGCTGGGAAAGATTGAAGGCAGGAGGAGAAGGGGACGACAGAGGATGAGATGGTTGGATGGCATCATCGACTCGATGGACATGACTTTGGGTGAACTCTGGGAGTTGGTGATGGACAGGGAGGCCTGGCGTGCTGCGGTTCATGGGGTTGCAAAGAGTCAGACACGACTGAGCGACTGAACTGAACTGAACTGAACTGACCACAGATCAGATCCCATCGAACCAGCAGCCCTGCTCCAGGTCCCCCTCACCTAGCAGAGTGCACAGTCCCCAGCGTGGCCTGATTCAGGCCACCGCCATCTGGCCGCATCAACCATTCCAACCTACACCGGGAGAGCTGCAAACCCTGGGTTATTTATGATTTCCTGAACATGCTGTGCTCTTCTCCCGCTTTCCCTTCTGGAGCTCACCCTCTTTCCCTCTGCCTTCAGCTGGAGCTCAGACTCCCTCCCTCCCTCCCTCTGGGAGCCCCACCAGAGAAATTTACATACTAAAGGCTTAAGGAGGAAAGGGACTGATTTAACTCCCATTCATGTTTGCACCTTCTCCTCTCTCTTCCTTCTACACCTGGCCTCCCTCTGTGCCAGTTTTAGGGGGCAGCAGGCCCCCATTCCCGGGGCTGGCAAACCTTCCCCCAGGAGGGGACGCAGTTCGGAGTTTCTGAACATGGAAGAGTCTTCTTGTGGTTTGGGTTTCCTCTGGTCTGCAGTCATCCTGGACTGTCTTAAAAAACACAATTCCACTGAGTAGATTTTAAAGATCTTATTGGCTTCATTCAACAATTTCCGGGCAGTACTCAATGTAGCAGATAGAAAGAACTCCAAGGAGCTGTACAAAATGAAAGACTTTTATGGGCAGAAGAGAGCAGAACATGAACGTTCTACTAGACCAAAAAAAGCAGATTGGGCTATGACAAGGTCACTTTTCTTTAAGGGACTGCAGGGGTGTCTCAGCCAGGTGACCTAACTAGTCCTGATCAGAGGATTCCTGATTGATTTATGATTCCATTTCTGGGAGAGCAGAAACTGTAATGAAGGTGAGTCTCAGTTTGGCGACATGGACTTAGCAGAAGCAACTCCTTGCTGGGTCTGCTGCCTTGTTTTTAACAACTGCAACAATAGTCCACTCAGCTTGACCATCCCTCTCTTCCTCCTGCAATAGCCCTATGCAGATGGGGCTGATTAGTTTATCACTTACATCTTGAGGGCAGGGCTTTGGCCAAGGACAGGTCACATGACCCACACAGCCAATCAGAATTCACCTTTTGGGGGGTCTCTATTCCAGGTGCTGGATGAGAAAGCCTCCTTTTTTCCCCCAAGAGTGCTGAGCTGGGACTTGTCCCATGGAGTGGAGGGCGACCCCGGGACCTCTGGCTATACAGAGACCAGCGGAGCTTCCCGAGTGGAGAGAGGAGGGTCAGGTTGTTCCTGTCCTCCCTGATTCTCTGAGCTGCCCCAGACTGCTTTCCACATGGTGGGGTGGTAAATTCCTTTTCTTTTTTTAAAATTTAAGTCACTTTGACTTGGCGTTCTGACACTTGAAAATATGCGTTTGACAAATATATACCAAATTTAGCAGCTAGATAGGTTCTTAGTGTTTAGTTGAAAGGTTCTGCATTCTCCAAGCTCTTGCATCTCTCTGAGCTCACCCTGTTCACTCAACTCCAGGACAGGCTTGCTTTTTTTCTGCTCCTCAAAATAAGCTCAGGGAATTTGCAGGCATTTTCCATTCAGCTTAAGGTTCTCTCTGCCCAGGTCGTCTCATGGCTAGCTTCACCGTTGTGTCTCCAACAGCTAGGATAGCACCTGGTGATAAATACCTATCAAATAAACAAATGAGGAAGGTGACACAGCTGACTTATTGGAAAAGACCCTGCTGCTGGGAAAGACTGAAGGCAGCAAAAGAAGGGGATGACAGAGGACAAGATGGTTGGATGGCATCACTGAATCAATGGATGTGAGTTTGAGCAAACTCAAGGAGATAGTGAAGGACAGGGAAGTCTGGCGTGCTGCAGTCCATGGAGACGCAAAGAGTCGGACATGACTGCCTGACTGAACAACAACAAACAGGGGAAAGGGCTCAGCTTTTGAAGCAGATGCCCTAAAATCACACAAGCTCCATCACTTACAAGCTTAGATTTCCTTAGAAAAAAATAACATTCTGTTGCTACTTGCAATGAGGAAAATATTCATACACAGTATTGCTTTCTTTTTTAAGTAAAAGAATTCTTTAATGTTTTGGCTGTGGCGGGCCTTCGTTACCTGCTCTAGTTGCAGTGACGGGGATGTGGGTGGGTGGGCTACTCTTCACCGTCAGGCCAGGCTTCTCACTATGGGGATTTCTCTGTTGCGAAGCACAGGTTCTCAGCCCTCAGGCTTCAGAAGTGGTGGCACACGGGGTTTGTTGCTCTGTGACACATGGGATCTTCCTGGACTAGGGATTGAACCCAGGTCCCCTGCATTGTAAGGCTGATGCTTAACCACTGGACCACCAGGGAAACCCCACAGTATTGCTTTTTGGTTGATTTATGCTTCACTTCCAACAGGACTGGAAGATGTGAAAGTTCTATGTTAACTGCAACGTGCTGACTGCATGATGATGACTATAGCCAGCAATATTAACCATGTGCTGTATTTGAGACATTGCACTGATAGCTTTATTCTGTTCATTAAAATGCTCACCACAACCAGTAGGCAGGCATCAATATGTCATCTTAATGATGAGCGGCTGAATCTTGGTGATGTAAGTAGCATCTTAAAGTCAGCTGGAAAGTATGGAGCTTGGGATTTGACTCTCACAGTCTACAAGGAGATGTCGTGCAAAGTGGACCAAACAGCCAGTTGATAGTTGGACTAAGTGATCTGATGGTACCTTTAAAGCCCTGGGATTCTGTGGTCAACCAGCTCCCGTTTATAATCTATTTCTCCAGAACATCTCTGTTTCCTCTTGGCTGGCATTTAATCAGCTCCTCACTAGTTGGGACTCAAGAAACCCCTGATCATAGACAGACCTTGAAGTGAATTTTGGATGTGCCATCATTGGGAAAGAGTGGTGTTGGCTTCACCTGTGGGCTCTAGATCCAGGATGTCTGAACTTGAAACATCTCTGCTTCTAACTGGCCTCACCAGCTTAAGCAGGTTACTAACTTCCTCTGCCTCAGTTTCTCCATGATAAAAGGGAAATAGCCAGAGACCCTCTGTAGAGGATGGTTGTGAAGATTCCGTGAGTCAACATACTAAAGCTCTTGGACAGGTATCTATCTGGCCCACAGTGAGTATTCCACAAACGTGCACTATTAAACATAGAGCTGTGTAGAAATGGAAAGAAAACGAGTCAGAATGAGCAATTCTGAATTATACAACACTCCTTGGGAGCAGAAAATCAAATTCATCTCAGAGCCAGCTCACATAGTACAATACCCTTTTGAATCCTTGAATTTCCTTATAGCATGCATCATTTGAGAGGAAAAACCTTATGAGCATGGCTAAGATTCTCACTCCTCCCCCTCTCCCACCTGAGATGCAAGCAATTAGTAGCAAGCTGAAGGAGACAGAGAAACTTTTGTTCAGCACAATTCCTCCCAGTAAGAGAGTGAGGTAGCCCTGTGTGTAGTCAGGAGAAATCCTACCATAAGCCTTCTGGGCTGGAGGCTAGTCTTTAGAGGCCCTTGAAAGTTGCCTTCCAAGAAGGAGGTGCGGTTCTCAGAGGTGGGCCCTGTGTTTGCAGAACACCAGGTGGTTCTGTACACATAAGTATCGAGGAGACGTGCTCTGCTTAACGGCAGAGGTGAGGGAGACTTTGAAAATAGAATAGGCGATGGGATCTAGAAATAAAGAGGGGCTTCAGAGATTGATGTTACTGAGGGAGCAGGTGGAGAGAACGGAGGAAAAACACGACTAAACAATCCCAGAAGAGGCGCAGATGCTAGAAAGAAACAGTCCCTCCATGCCACTCCAAAGGGTGAGCAGTAAGGAACGAGGTGAAATTTCTAAGATGACATT